CTTCACGGCGTTTGGATCTGCTACCTCGTAACCGTGCGGGGATATTGGATTTCTCACGGGGTTGTGGAACAACGTATGCTTACCGTCGCCCCATGGGAAATGCTGTCGAAGGAAAATATTTATAAAACACTTGCCAGGTATACAGGACACGAGAGAGAAAGATGTTGCAATGGTGTTGATGTAAAAATGATCAGACAGCGAGGAAAATGGTCAGGATGGCGAGAAAGTAGCACGAAGGGATAGAGGAAGAAAGTATCAAATTTCTGCGGCGAAGGTAAAAACGATTCGTACGACTTCCTTAATCGATTACGAAGAATATACCACACAAACGGATTACCTTCGCGAGATGTAACGAAGCGGGAGCACTTCGTTAGCTTGGAGAATCAGTATAAAACACGCGTGTTACGCAAAACGCCAGCATGTAATCAATTAATTAACATAAGAAACTGGAAGTATTCTACGGTCATCGCGTACAATCGTTAGAATAGTAAAAAGGAGAGATAAGAAATTTTTGAAAGAATTTTCAAAGAATCGATTGGAAAAATAAAAGGAAAAGGTACCTTAACTATTCGTCGTAAATAAGGAACGTCTTTGAACTCTGGCCTCGGTTTCTTCCAATCTTCCAATTTCTTCGAGTAAGTGTAAGCAGACGTAAAAATCAGCACAGGTATCGCGATGATAACCCATATCCTCCAAAATTTCTCCTTATGGTACACTGTCCCCGTGAAAACCACATATCGTGTTCATCAACACACATGTACAAAGTGGAAAGAGTCTCTTTCTAAAGCATTTCGCGCATCACTGATCGTTAAAGGTGAAAATTCAACCCTCCACTGCTGCATGAATCAGCTTTCAGCTGACTTTTATACCGCTTTTTAAGATAACAACGATGGTTCTACGTTCTATGCAACATATTGTCCAAACAGATAACAAGAAAGTGTGTTGTCTCGAGGATGACAACACAGTCATCGTTCGGTTGTATTTGAATTATCGAGTATCGCGTTAATGATAACGCTTGACGTGCTACTTGGCAGCATTTTTATCGTTACAATTACAAAAATAATACTGAAAATATTTCGAATCTGAACAAAACGTCCCCCACTTTCTTACTTTATACCAAAACTGTCCCAGAGAATAACTGTAGTAAAAATTGTCTCTTAGATTGAAAGTTACCGTGAGGTGGACAGTAATCTCTCACGTCTTCACAAGGTGGAGGTGCACAAGTAGCTGGTATATCTTCAGGGGTTGGCGAGCATACTCTATCAGTGTTGGTGCATTCTTTTAGTTCGCTGTCACACGTTGAACAGTCCTCGGGAACTTCTTCTTTCATGCTCGACTTGTCACCGAGACATGGTTTCAATGGTTTCTCGCAGCCAGGTTTGCACGAGGAATAACTGCGAATATCCCCCTCGCGGGATATCATCTCGCATAAATCTTTCGCTCTCCTTAATTTTTCACGCGAGAATTTCTCGCATGACGAATGGCTGGTGGAAGAATAAAATTTTAACATCGGTTTCGACATGTTCCTTACGGCCAGACCGTGGTGATATCCCGTCGAAGGACGAAGTTGCTTGGAGATGTTCCAAGATGGATGGTAAATCGGCGCCAGTGAGAACTGCAAAACGATCGACGAACCTCCCCTTCCTACGTACTTCGCCGTTTCATCGTTATATTCGCGATTGTTCGCGTACAAGATCCTCTCTGAAACGAACTTCAACTGAAGACCTTAGTCGGAACGATTAAACATCCTCTTTAAACAGGATCAACGAATATTTCACAGGTTCTAACACGCGAAATGTCAACTCTCTCGAATGTTAAAACAGCGAAACTTCTCTGTCGTAGTATGCTAACGAGTCACGCAAGATTCTGCAACTGTTTAAAAGTTCCGAGCTTTTGTACAAAGAAAGCTACCTATGAATTTTAAACAGGTGTTTTCTGTAAAAAAAAACACTGTAGTATTCCTTTCGGACAACTATTTAAAGAGAAGAGAAGACGTATAGGGTGTACACGATGGTGACACAGTTTCATGGCTGAAATCAGTCAGTCTCGTCGTCGTGCAGGCTATTCTCCACGGAGAATGGAAGCTGTACAAACGTTAATGCATAGAGGAAACCCATTTGCCAGCAGCCACTTCACATGCTACAACCCAATAATGACAAAGCTCTCCTTTCCGCCCCAACGAAATATGCCCCGAAGTGACTTTTTATCGGGGCAGGCTTTAAAAGGAAATTAAACATCCTCGTGCTGTCGATAGCACAGATCGTTCCTATTGTGAGCCTGGTTTAATAACAGAGTCGTCTGTATTTCCACTAGAGAAAAAAAGAAAAAAAAAATATTTTATACCTCCGTTTATCGCGATCAATTTTCTCCCAGGCGATTCGTATCTCGAAATATCTTTGCCCGTGCAAACGAGCTGAGCTTTTGTATACCTCGACGACCA